CACAAGATATCCTATGGTATTCGAAGGATATTGTGATGCTAACTTGATATCCGACATGAAGGATTCCCGGTCCACAATAGGTTATGTTAGTATCCTTAGTGGAGCTGCTATCTCATGAAAACCGACAAAGCAAATGTGTATTGCTCGATCACCTATGGAATCTGAGTTCATTGCTTTGGATAAAGTCAAAGAATAAGTAGAACGGCTTCGAAGATGTTCCATAAGTATACACTGTGATAGTCAATCCGCTAATAAAAGGGCTAGAAGAAGTAAGAACAATTGGAATATTTAAATAATATTCATAAAGTTCAAATACATTGTGATAATTCAATATTGGAAATTGAAAGCCCTTCAACTAAAAGAAATGATTGACTAGTGTAATGATAAGAAATCCTCCAATCGTGTTTGAAATTGATAAAAGCTTTAGATAAAGCTAAAAAGAAGCATGTAGCTTCATGAGAGAATTTCTTGGTGTTAACAATGTGTATCTATTAAATAAATCGATCGTTGGCTAGCTATATTTGATAAGATACTAAGTCACATATAATGGTAAATATAGACACATATCTCTAGACATAATACTGTTAATCAGTTGATCCCAATAGTGTAAACTCAATGTACCTTTAAAAGAGATTTACTAAGAGAGATCAAGAATACTACATATCGAAGGGAATGAGATAAAGTCTACTACGTTAGAGTCCTTAGAATGGTAATCCTACCTTGTTGACTGGAGATCCCAAGATCTTGGTTCAAAGGGACAACTAAGTTGTGAGGTTCCATAAAGCACTTAGGAAATCAAATTTCCTAACTCATTCCTATGATGCGAAAGCGCTTTCTGCAGAGTGGTTAAAGGTTAAGTTAATTTTTTAATGATTCCTATATCTTGACTAAAGTCAAGTGGAGTAGGGCAGAATACTTTTAATAGGAGGTCATTTATGTAAGTATGAAGTGTGGCTGCTTAAATAAGAATTATATGAGGTTTGAATTCTTTAAACACTTATGAAATCGAGATGGGTTCAGGGCCAAAATGAACCAAGTCATGAGAAACAAGTACGGAATAAGGAAGACATCTGTGTGAGCATCGTTGTCTTGGCTTACACCAAATGCTGAATGGTTCAAGACATCACGTTCACCACTTAGTCGAGTAAGTCCGATAGTATTTTACTGCGGGAGGTTTAAGGCCAGATGCCCGATGCAATAGCTTTCTTCTCTCTCTCTCTCTCTCTCTCTCTCTCTCTCTCTCTCTCTACAATGCATCATATCATAGCATTGCATGTGCATACTCAAATTTCCATTCATTTGGGGGATTGTTGAAATTGGTTCAAAAATCAACCGAAAAAATTTTTTGCTTAAGTATGAAAAGGTGTGACTTTGTTTCAATTTCGACCAAATATTCGAACTTAATCCGATGGTTAAATTACAAAAGTAAATAGATTAACTTATTATACTTATCGAGGAGATCTTCGTGGTATATTTGAAATCTCGAAACCAATTCCGGATGAATGAGAAATTGCAATCCAAAGTTGGAAGAAATGAAGTGTTGCAATTTTTCTAAAGGAGGTTTTGACTAAGTATTGCAACTTTTTAAAAGGATGCATGTTTTGGTTTACACCACTTTATTTACACCCTTTCTACATCTATAAATAGGAACATTTGGGCGTGGTTTTGAGTATACCATTGCATTGAGCATCAGTTCTTCTCTTGCAATTCATCTTTCTCTCATTCTCATAACATTCCTTTGTAGAGATAAAATTCCGTTGAAGTTTCATCGTTCTTGTGGTTTGAAGTGCTGCTACCACAAGTGTGTATCCATTGTATCTTGGGAGACATTTGTCATTCAACCGTGAGCACCGTAACGGTGTAATTTATCTTAAAGAAAGAGTTATACTCGCCTCTGATTTCCTTTTCTATTCCTTCTTGGTTTTGTGATTTTGTACTACACTTCCACTTCATAAAATTGTAGTTTAATTATGCTCCTGCTGGTTGAACTTTGTACTCACAAACAATCATCTTGACCGCTCACAAATAAGTCGGATCCAATGCTCACACGCCCCTTCCTATAAACACTCTCAAAATACTTAGAAAAACCTTTAGAATAAAATTTTTAAAACTTGGAAATGAACTTTCTTGGAAAATCCATGGAGTTTTAAATGAATGGGAGAAGGAGCCTCTTTAATCAACCGGAGAAGATGATACTGGATGGTGGATACTAGTTAGGTAGCCTGATATTTTTTGTCTTCTAAATTACTGGTAGCCTATTTTGTCGGCGAATCAGAGAATGCTGTCCAGTATTCATGCACCACTATTTTTTAGATTTTTTTCAACTCCTCATGTAGAAATTTGTTCATAAATTTAAGGATAAGCTTATAATATGTTTCTACTCATTTTAATCTTAACATTTCTTATTTTCAGGTTTTAATCAAAAGCTTAATCCTTAATTTATGAGTAAATTTCGATTTGTGCAATTTTTATGTTAGATGGAATTTCTTATATGTAATGTGTTTATTTGATTAGATACTTACTCATTTGAGTTGAGATGAAGTTTTTCTAAGTGTTTGATGATTTTGGTTAAAGATTGTTGAGAATACATCCATCCCCCACAGATGTTCGATAAATAATGCCGAAGAGATTTTTTAAGATTACATGCTAGATTGTAATCCATCGAGACGTTTTAATGCATACTACCAGTTATAAAATTGATCTCCTGCCCTGATCATAAATAAGGTTCGTGAAAGTTTTTATCCTGCCTACTAAAGCAGGAGATCAGGCTTGCTACATGTTATAGTACTTGATCACTACAGATCTAAAACCTCTGTGCATAAGAACTAGAAGACTTAAATGATGGCCCCCCAGGGCACATCTCCAAGTCAGCTTAAATGATGGCCCCCTCTGTGCAACTTTGCTTGAGGCTAGCGCGTCAAGGGTTCGAATCCTGAAATATGGATTTGGCTCTTGAGTAAGTGCAAGTGTACAAGCAGCCTTCCACCCTGTATCCTTGGAGGCATAACCTGCGATTTACCTACCTCACGATACTCCAGAGCAGGAGTGGTGGGGGACCCTTAAGGTTGGGGTTCAACCTTTTTAGAAGACTTAAATGATGAGGTCCCTCAATTTTATGGATATAGGGAGATTAGGAGCTGATGTTTGTGATCACTAGGCCACGAGGTTGCTATCTGAGACAAAATGGAACTAACATGTCTCCTAATGAAAGTCAAAGGCAATTCGCTTTTGGGGTATGGCCTATATCCGAAAGTAGCAGAATATTTTCAATTTGAATGTTTGTGTACAATGAGAAATTGGCACATGCATGTTCATTTCAAGGCTTATTGGGGCATATTTGAAAGAGATCCAGACATGAATATTGATTTCAATGCCTGTTATGTGACACTTGGCATTTGCATGTTCACTTCGATGCAAATTATTTTATATTTGACTAACTATTACATGCATCAATCTTTATTCGTTGTGACTAAAGTTCTATAATTATAGTTGAGGCGGGAGTTGAAGTACTAATATTTCGATGTCGCTAAGTTGTAATTCGATTCGCAGCCATATTTTGTAAAAGGGAAAAATGTATTTTATCAATGAAAGGGGATCTACCTTATGTTTCCCCCTATTGTTGTTGTTATTATGTTAAAAGTTTATTTTCGCACTCGATTACTAGTTTTGATCAAATGTGAAGTCAAAGTAAGTAAACGATGACTCGAAAGATTAGAAGACTTATTTTTAATGATCATTGGAACAATTTTATATAAGTTCGAAATGTTTTTAATTAAATAGAGACAAGCCGCCCTGATTTGGAAAAAAGGCTATTGGTAGCTTGTTTTCTATTTAATGCAAGGCTACCGGTACCTTTCATTGTAAGTAGAGTTGTCATGTTTTAAAAAATCTAGTGATAAGAAATGTTTGACTTGTTATCAACTTGTAAATATAACTTACATGAGCCAATGTTTTGCAGATACTGAATAATTGCTCGGTGAACTCATGAGTAGCATAGCATTTGTGATTGTCAGTTTGACATGTAAAAAGCATGACGCTGAAGTTTACAAAATCTAAATGTCTCTCTTGTTATATGGTTGTTATCATAGTTATTAGATTCGAACTGAACATCGATTCGAACAAGGTATAGGGTTTGAGGTTACTAGTCGAAATGACTAGTCAATGGTCGGACTGTTGGGTCATTGTATAAAATTCTACAAAAAAATATAGAGTATAAATTTTTTTTAGGTAAAATTAAAGTTTTTAAGTTATTTTTCAATAATTATTTAGGTCGATCAAAGTTCTTTTAAAAAAGTATTTTTAGAAAACCTATGAGTGACTCTTTAGATAGACATATGTTATTGCACATAAATAATACTAAAGCACTTTGTGTTCCAATGATGAGGAACCCATTATTTTCCTTAGAGATCCAAAGTTCCTTGGACCCAAAAATTTTGAAAGAGAATTTCAAAACTCAATCAAACCGGTCAATCGGGCCAGTTAAAACCCTGGTTTACTTAATCAAAGCTCGATTTTGACTGAGTCAAGTACATTTCTATTAAATTAATTTGCTTGGCTAGGTCATCGATTTTCCGGTCCAACTATCAACTCATCTATAGCTTGCGAAAAATGCTATCGATTATATTCTATAGTATTTTCCGAAATGCTATTGTAGATGAAGTTATTAAAAGTCGTACCTCTATTATAATATTTTTTAAATGTTATTATAAAGTGCTATAAAAAACTTTTAAATAGCATTCTTTTATTGTCATGGTTTTAATAATTATAGCATTCTTTTCGTGCAATAATTCATATTTTTTATACGATAGCATTTTTTTTGTTATAATTTTGGCTTTAATAACATTCTTTAATCGTTATGATACATCTTCAATAGCATTCTTTTTTCATAGTGTGTGTGTGTGTGTGTGTGTGTATTATATTTATAGCTTTTATTGTAATGTATACGTACTCAATAGCATTATCTTTTGGAATAAAAATATAAACAATAATCAAGGCAATAGTAAATTCCAAAACATACATCAATAATGTCTTGTAGAAATAGACAAGTGTAGTTGTTTAGTAGAAAAATATAATTATGTTATATACTAATAGCAATACATACTTGAAAAGGAAATACAAAATTAAATTAGAATTATCTCATTCTAGATCTTCAAAAGAAAGTTTCTTAAATTCTTGCAACTTGTCCGGAGTAGACATCCATCAAACCAACGATGCATTTAAATCTGGAACTTAACAAAGTGAAACACTTGTTAAATTGTAAAAATAATGTAAACTAAAAAAAAGTCAAAACTCTAATTAGTGAAGGAAATTGATATGAGCAAAAATCAATGCTACCATAATGTTGGATTAGAATACAAGTGCCAGTGCCACTCCCAAGACCAATAAACACCAAAGTTATCGTACCAAATCACAAAAGCCAAATGGGAAATCGACATACCTTGAAACAAGACGGGACCAGAACCAAATTGACAACCCAAGGAGCATGAAACCAACATATTATGATTATCTGGTTGCAACCTAGGAAGAGTGATGGAAGAAACCAAACCATACTTGTCATTGGAAACTATGCTGACAAGAAGTAAAAGCTCTTAAATATCCTTAAAGATGAAAAACTCAATTATGTGTACTTCAATAGTGCTTAATATTCTATCAAACAGCATTTGCATAACTTAGTATGACAAAACAACTCAAGCAAGTGACAGAAATACTATTACTAATCTTAGATAACAACTTACGATGTTGTTGGTGGTGGAGCTTCAAACACTTGCCCACATTATCATGTGAAGGGGAGCAATATAAACCAAGTCCAAAATTTCCACATTGCAATGGGCAAATGAAATTTTAAATGTTTAAATTGCTAGTTGTGAAGATTTTATGCTTTATAATCATCTAAAACCATAACAGTAGAGCTTCTCCGTTAGGTTGTTGCCCTAGAGGTCAATCCACCAATCTGATCAAACTTTGACACTAAGAAAACGTGAACTAAATGCAAGCTAAATTAATTTTGTCAAAATCATTTGCTGGTAATGGTATTGACTAGTTGTTGAAATACTATTATTGTCAAAAGTGCATCAAAACAAAGTCTAAATTACTATATTAAAGACATGTTTGGCAGGTTGGAATTGACAGGATTAAGTACGAAAAAGAAGTTGAAATTTTGTGTGTTGTTCCAGAATGACTAGTTTATCTAAAATGTATGATTTTCATTATTCACAAAGATATAAGGAAATCTAATCTGCACTATATTGGGATGATAAAGATGTGAAAGAAGGGCAACTTCCGAATTGAATTGTTGTTCAAGTAAAGTTCTAGCTTCCTCATTATGAGTTGGAATTCTCACCATTTTTACAACAACTGCTCTCTGCTTATGAATTCCTCTGTAAATTCTACTATGTGCACCAGAAGCAAACGTATTGCCGATAAATAACTGAGAAAGATCAGTCGTCCATTCCTCTTGATCTTCAGATGCTTCCCAAGTCTCAAACATTCTCAGAATCCAATATCATTGACCAAGATTCCTAACTGTCAAATCTTTTCCTCTCCATATTATTTGCATCATTGCTTAACTGTGTTCTCGAGACTCGAAGTAGAAGGAATTAATAAAGATTTGCTCTTAGACCTGCACGGTCGAAACAGATTGAAACACGAGGTAGCCATTGAATATATAAACAAATCTTGTATAGTGACTATACTCACGCCAGTTTTTAATAATTACCAACAAAATCAAACACCCCTATCAATAAGAAGCCACAAGACTTTAAAATACTTCATAATTTCTTTTGTCTCAAAATAAATATTTTTCAAAATACAAGAATAATCATCTAAAAAAATAAAATTAATCCCATAAATGACACTATTACAAGATCAAGTCACACTGCAAAAACACACATAATAGAAGGGAAAATATGTGGAGAAAACAGAAAAGCAATGAAGCACAGATTTGCAGAGAGTCCTCTACTGCGACGATCCAATTTAAAAATACAAAAAAAAAAAGAGAAAAAAAATACCTTATTAATGAAGTGAAGGAGAAACAATCTCCAGATTCTCCACTGATTCAAATCGTCGATGCTAACATTTTATTCCTAAATTTCACATGGAATCTGTAGAACATATAGAAGAATATAATAGACAAAAATAGATGGAAATCTTGGGGATTAACCTGTGGTAAAATCAACAGAGAATAGATGGATATCTTGGGGATGAATCTGTGGTTAAATCAACAAAAAGAGGTGAAAAAAAATAGTAATGAATCGGCCAGAAGAGAGGTGGAGACGTGATTCAATGAGATAGAAAATAGAGGAAATAAGTGAAAATTGCCATTTGATCCACCTTATTTTCACTTTGACCTTTGACTTATTTAAAAAAAAAAAAAAAAAAACACATAATTTAAAGACACCTTTCCAAAAATACTCCTCTATCTTCCTCTCTTTCTTTGTCGACGGTTTGAAAAGGAAAAATCAAATTCACTGACAGTCGGCAGTCCAGACATCTCCCTCACCAAAGAACTTCCGGTTGTCGACTTTTAAGAGTTGTAAAGATTAGTTTTGTGAAATTATAATTAAATTATTGGATTTTGTTGAGTTTTAGTTAAATTATTGGTTGGAATATGATTTTTGTGATATGAAATGCATGATTTAGGCCCCGTTTGGTACACATTAATGAAAAAATGAGAATGAAAAATATATCTGTTACGAGCCCCACACAAGAGATAGAAAGTCAAATATGGTGGTTTGATGTGATGGATAACAGTCATATTTTTAATTATAATGGGCAAATAATGAGAAACAAACAAGGGCTTAGAGTAGATTTGCGTATAGATGAAGTGTATTGGCCAATTTTTGGTGTTTGGGGAGCTCCAACTCGTCGAAAATGGTGGAATCCGACGAGTGGAGATGGATTTTGGTTGCAGTCGGCCAACTAACAGCCAGTTAATTTAAAGAAATTTGTTATTTTAAAATTAATTTTTTAATTCTAATTTCAACTTTTTATGTTAAATATAATTGTAATTGTAATTTTATTTTAAATTTACATATTTTTTAATTATAATTTTAATGTAAAGAAATTTGTTATTTTAAAATTAATTTCAAAATAAAATTTTATTTTTTATTTTAAATTTAATTTTAGTTTTTAATTTAATTTAATTTAATTTTAAATTTTCTTTTTAATTTTAATTTTAATTTAAAGAAATTTGTTAATTTAGAATTTATTTTCAAATTAATTATTTAATCTAAATTTTGACTTTTTAATTTAAATTTAATTTAAATTTAAATTTTCATTTTAGTTATAATTTTAATTTAAAGAAATTTTTTATTTTAAAATTAATTTTAAAATTACTTTTTTAATTCTAATTTCAAATTTTTATGTTAAATTTAATTGTAATTGTAATTTTATTTTAAATTTACATTTTTTAATTATAATTTTAATGTAAAGAAATTTGTTATTTTAAAATTTAAATTTTCATTTTATTTATAATTTTTTATGTAAAGATATTTGTGATTATAAAAATACGGTTAAAAATTCGATTCGCTTAATTTTGGGTTATTATGCTTCATTCCATTATTTCATGTACAATGTTCTAATATTCTGTTTCAATTTTTGCATAATGTATTATTATCTAGATGCAGAGTTGAGACAGATGTCAGGCAAAGTTACGTGGAACGATAACTTTGATAGCTTCACACAGGTCCTGGAGCTGCTGGACGACCAGCATGCAGATATGCTGCGTCAGTCCTTTCCGTGGCCTCTATACCCTATGAGAGAGTTGCAGTATTCGAGTTAGATGATCGATACTCTTTTATGTCGGCTGTTGAGTCCAGTTAACGGTGATGCCTTCCATTTCGACCTCGGGGGCAAATTCGCTAGCTTTTCCATGTTCGAGTTTGCTCTGCTGACTGGATTGAAGATTACGGGCGATGAGGCAGCTAGCGACGGGACTCAGAGAAGAAATATGTTGTAGGACACTTACTTACAGGGATAGGGGCGGTGGTTTTGCCTCAGCTGATGAACGCGATCAGGAGGTGTGACGAGATGTTGGACAAACTGAAGTTAGGTCTGGTCTATATCATTGAGAGCGTGATGCGATGTCACCACAAGAAGGCTACGATCAACCTCTTCCACCTCGAGATCGTCGACGACATAGATCGCTTCAACAGCTATCCATGGGGCCGCCGATGTTTCAAGAACACCGTCCACATCTTCACTAGACTGTACTAGCCTAAGGGACCTTGGCGCTGCAGGTAAATGATTAACGCAATCAATGTTAAAATATTTTTTCTATTGAATTTGTATGCAATAATTTATGTGTTGCAGGTCTGGGAGTATGAGACCGTCCACATATTGGGTACTCGCTTTACGCGACGAGAGGAGACACGCTGCCCTCGGATGCACCACTGGCGAGCATCTCGAGCGAAGGGATGTCCCACTGAAAAATAGTTATCGGCTCTCCTCGATAACCCTTATGTGAGTATTATAAATTTGTGATTTATATTGTACATAGTTTAACATTACATGATTTTATCTTTTTAAAATGTCAATATGTCAGCTTGAAGTAATAGCTCATTTGACGTCATCAATGGAGGAGGAGGCACAGGGTCTCGTGCATGAAGTAGCTGTTCAGCACACCTAAGACGACCAGATGTCCAATTTGATCCCCGATCGAGACTGTGTAAGTGAATTATTGATTAATATTTTGTATGAGTAAGCAATTATTGAATAAGTTAATAATATGTAAGTTTGTATAGAACTGCGAGCCAGTTGATCAGGCATCACCTCCGTCGGCAACATCACCTTCGCCGAGAGCATCATCTCCACTGAGGGCATCACCTCCGCCGCCAGCGTCACTTCCTCCCCCTCAGGGTGATTATTCTGATGATCTGTACCATCACCTGACTGATTTATGGTGCAGGAGGTCGGCGCGCTGCGTCGAGAGCTGATAGGAGTTATATCAGAGGAGGTTGGCGCACTACATCGAGATATGGTGGAGTGGGTCGAAGATCTGGGATATCAGTTGGTAGGGAGGGTCTAGGATATAGCTGATGATGTTCGAATGCTACGTGGGCATTTAGGGGACCTTCATGATGAGGTGACAGCACTTCGAGGTGATATAGTAGGCAGACGATGGGTTGACGGAGGTTACGATCGGGGGGTGATCAAGAGGATAGAGATGGTGGTCATCCACGGTGGTGGTCGGAGGATGCATAGAACTCCTTTTTTCGGTCCATGAAGGATAGGGTGGACTCGAGGGTGGAGAGGGAAGGCCCTGAGGGCGGAGGAGGTAATGGCCTCGAGGTCGGAAGTGGGAGTGGCCCCATTGGGGATAGGAACGACGATCGAGGAGGTGGTGCCAACGATGGCGGATGAAGGGGGTTGAGGAGGTGGTGTTGACACGGGTAGATGAGGTGGTGGGCCCCTCGGGAACGAAAACGGGAGCGACGATCGAGGAGGTGGTGACGACGGGGACGGGGGAAAAGGAAAGCGTGGAGGAGGTGGCGATCATCGGGGCGGAGGAGAGGACGATGCCCGAGGTAGGCGAGGAGAGGACGACGACCGTGACTGGGCTAAAAAAACATGTTGTTGACTTGCCGGAGCTGGTGGTAGGCAAGAGGCCGAGAGTGTCGTCACAGTACATTGTTTCTCCCGTCACGGCTGAGACGAAAAGGAGGAGGTTCGTCGATGGGACGATCCCCAACCTATTTCGGGAGGTGGACCATACTAAGTGAAAAGTGTTCGAGACGGAGTGGAGAAGAATGTTGCCAGGGTTAGCATTCATGATATTAGTACATACCAGTGATCGTTACATGTATACGCTTTTTTAACATTTCTCTGTTTTTTTTGTCAGGACCAGCTGTACAATCGGTACTGTGACGATCTCCGATACTTATAAGTGGTTCCACGACATCATCACTTCAGATGCCTGGCTTGCTGACGATGTAAGTGAAGTAGTCATACTGTTAATTTTTATGACTTGTATATCATAGTTTGTTTATGCAATGAAATAATCCATTTTGTATTGCTATTTTTTAATGTAGCACATCGACCTGGCCAAGTCATACTCAATTTGGAGCTCGGACGAAGCATTGACATTGAGTACCAGTCACTCCAACATGCTCGCAAGGAGTACGCGGTGCCCGACTACCTGCTTGAGTGGACCATGGGGATGTGGCCACATGTCGGGGGGAAGTCATGGGAGGGTTGTACACATATGTACATACCAGTGATCGTGAATCATCACTGCATGGCTTTGGAGATTGTGTTCGATGAGTCTACTATATACATGTACGACCCAGGGTCAGCTTGAGCAAAATTTGGAGCCAATTGTTGTTTTTATCCCTATGATAGCTAGACAGGTGGGATTGACTGTGAATGACATATTAGCCATCGTGTAGGATACGATCACAGCGATGCAGACAATATCATAAGTGGCTCTAAATTTTTTAAAATTTAATACTTAAATTTTTTTGCTACACGGTACTGATCGAACTCATTTTTGTTCATTTGCAGGGGCGATTGTGGCATTTTTGCATTAAAGTACATTGAATTTCTAAGTATAGCACATAAGGTTGATGGAATCAACCAATCCTGGATACAGAGTTGGCGAAACAAGTTGGCGTGCGACTTATTCTATTTGAATAGTGATCCATAGATTTATTGTAATTATTAGTTTTAATTTTTTGTAATTACGAAATAATTGTTAACACTGTAAATATTGATTTGTTGTACTTACGAAATGTTTGTAACTCACTATGATGGATTATGAAAGATTATTAACTACGACAGCAATTAATTTGTTATCGTATAATAAATGCGAACACTGTTTAATTCAAATGGACAACATTACCAAATGATCTAACTATCATTTAGAGGAGCATGACTTATATAATATTGGCGAGTATGCCTAACTGATTTGCACCGACTGCACTTACGTGGTCGAGAAAATTCTCCGATAGATGGTATTTTAGACGTATTTGGACGTCCATAACCACGCGGTTCAATGAAAGGTAGCAACAATGTATTGAGTGGGCGAATATAGTCGAGGACTTCCCACTCAGTTTAGTTTAGCAGAGAAAATATTGTCTCAGCATACGCAGCTCTCCAATAATCAGTCGTGTAATAATGAGAGCACAATGTTCTAGCTGCAAATCCTCGATACATAGCAACCGCGATTGCATGCTCACACGGAAAAGTCTTCAACTGAAATTCTTTACAAATGTATGTGTTATCAGTTAAGTCTACCATGTATGCCATATTACCTGTGCATTCCACTGAGAAGTGCGACTCGTCTAGTGGTTCGACATTCAACTGTCTCACAAGTTTTGCAA